GGTGAGCGAGTGACAGTAAGCTCAGACCTGTGGGAGGATGGCCAGATACCGCCTAGGCCAGGAACTAAGAGGACAGGAAAGCCTGCAGGTCGGGGAGGAAGGGGCGCCAGGTGTGGCTGGAATGGCATCTGGCAGGAGGAGGGGGCGGAGAAGCAGGGGCCATGCCAATCTTCTCCAGCAGCCTGGCCCACAGACGTTTTTGTGATGACCGTGAGATTCCCGTCTGGCCACCCAACACAGCAGCAAAAGGCCACACCTGGCTACTGAGAGCGGAGATGTGGCTACGGGGACTGAGGAATGGAGTCCTTCATTATCAGGTCGATTTAAATAGCCACAGCTAGCTAGTGGCCAGCCTACTGTACGTCGCAGATAAAGCTTCCAAGACCTGGGAGGAGTGAGGTTGGAATCTAGGATCAACAGGAGGCTCCTGGAGAGTTTCTGCAGGAGCCGGCACAGATCACTCTCTCCAGGAAGCTCCTTTGGGGCTGTCCCCAGCCCCCACGAGGTACCTTTTCACAACGTGGACGCGGGCAAAAAGGGCAGAGGGGAAGCACCCAGGGCCGGAGTCCCCAGCTGTAGAGCTGTGGAAGACGGTCCACGGCTGCCCGCAAGCGGCGCTGGGGCAGCGCGATCCTCCAGGCGTAGAAACCTGGGCGCACAGTCCGGCGCCCACCGACCGGGGACCTGCAGAGCGCTCCGGGGATGTGCAGGAGGCGGGGCAGAGGGGCGCAAGTGCCCGAGAGTTGGCCCTGAGACACTGCGCACTCGGGGCCTGTGAATTCGGGTCCCGTGGGAACACTCGGCCCGGGCGCGCCCCTCCCCCCCCTCACCTGGGCCTGGGTGGTCGCTCTTGGTCTCCGGCGCCCACGGCTGAAGGGCCGTGTGGGAGTCGAGACGGTGACCAGCACACGGTCCTCGCGTCTCACACACCAGCGTCGTCCGCGCTCCAGCCCCAGCGCGCACGCGCAGCCGAGGAAGACGGGACGGCGGCCGGCGGGGCCAAACGACCTCGCAAGCGNTACTAGCTCACGTGGCAATGAAGAAAAGTCCCACCATAGGCGTCTATACACTGGGTGCAGGACGCATGGCTCCGTCCAAGTCCTAAGGCCTCAGAACCAGGGAAGCTGATGGTGTCCGTGGTGTAAGTCCTGGAACCCAAAAGCAGAAGAGTCTCAACCTCTGATGTCCACGGACAGGAGACAGGAGTGTGTCCCAGCTCCAGCCGATCAAGAGAGAGCCTCACCTCTTCCCTCTGTCTTTTGTTCTCTCTGGATCCTGGGTGGATCGGATGGTTCCCACCCACACTGAGTGGGTCTTTCCCACCCAGGCCACTCAGATTCTCCTACCAGTCTCTGCTGGAAACACCCTCATGGGCACACCTGAAAAGAGAGCTTTACCAGGTCTCCCAGCNGCTACTGGGACTGAGGAATGGAGTCCTTCATTATCAGGTCGATTTAAATAGCCACACCTAGTTAGTGGCCACCCTACTGGACGTCGCAGATAAAGCTTCCAAGCCCTTGGAGGAGTGAGGTTGGAATCTAGGATCAACAGGAGGCTCCTGGAGAGTTTCTGCAGGAGCCGGCACAGATCACTCTCTCCAGGAAGCTCCTTTGGGGCTGTCCCCAGCCCCCAGGAGGTACCTTTTTACAACGTGGACGCGGGGCAGAAAGGGCAGAGGGGAAGCACCCAGGGCCGGAGCTTCTAGAGCTGTGGAAGACGGTCCACGGCAGCCCGCAAGCGGCGCTGGGGCAGCGCAATCCTCCAGGCGTAGAAACCTGGGCGCACAGTCCGGCGCCCACCGACGGGGCACCTGCAGAGCGCTCCGGGGATGTGCAGGAGGCGGGGCGGAGGGGCACAAGTGCCCAAGGGTCGGCCCTGAGACACTGCGCACTCGGGGCCTGTGAATTCAGGTCGCGGGGGCACACTCGGCCCGGGCGCGCCCCTCCCCTCCTTGCCTCCAACCCCATGTCGCCCCCACCGACTCACCTGGGCCTGGGTGGTCGCTCTTGGTCTCCGGCGCCCACAGCTGAAGGGCCGTGAGGGAGTCGAGCCGGTGACCAGCACACGCTCCTCGCGTCTCACACACCAGCGTCTTACGCGCTCCAGCCCCAGCGCGCACGCGCAGACGGAGAAGGCGGGACGGCGGCCGGCGGGGCCAAAAGACCTCGCAAACGGGCGCGCGCCCGGGACTGCAGCCGCGGAAGGCGGGGGCGCCCGGAAATGGCGGGGAACGCATCCCGCAGGGAAACGGCTAAAAAGAAAATGTTAAAAATTTGGAGAGAAATGAAAGTAAAAATACGTTACACCAAAATCTATAGGATACAGCAAAAGCAGTTCTAAGGGGGAAGTTTATAGCAATACGCAGCTACCTCAGAAAAGGAGAAAAGTCTCAATTCAACAACGTAAACATTGCACCTCAAGAAACTAAATAATCAAAAACAAACTAAGCACGTAATTAGTAGAAGAAAATAAATAGTAACGATCACAGCAGAAATAAATGAACTAGGAAACAGAAAATCTATGAGTCAGATCAGTAAAATCAAAAGTTGATATTCTGAGAAGATAAACAAAGTTAACAAATCTTTAGCCGCCCTAACTGA